CTGAGTAAAAAGGTAGCACAAAACTTTTAATAGTGATTTTAGACTGATGAAAGCCTATAAAATACTCTCAAAGGAATAGGCAGATAAATTAGATAATAAGATGTGTAGAAGAGTATATGACCAATTAAGCTGCCAAAATTACTAAAAAAAAAAATATTAAGATATACTATACTAGGCTATCTGAATTGAAAGTCTGAAAAGTTTTGTTAGTTCTGAGCAGTAGTTAGTAAGGAATAATAAAGAAGATATCAGAAAGATGAATACTAGAGTTTTGAGTAAACCTTACAAGAATATAGCAGTTTAATAATTAGTTCTAACTGCAAATAATAGACTAGGCCAAAGCAATACCAGATTAGCTATAAGTATAAGATACAAAAAGCTCTGATAAGTTTTAGTACAAAGTTAAACATGACTTAGCAGTTATGGCATATCTTTACTGATTTACTGAAACTTGTTAATAAAGTGTAATGAATACAGAATCAAAATGTTTAAATAGAGAACCTACAAATAAGTCTTAGATATAGCAAATAGTATAGAACCTTCAGATAGACTACTTAAATTAGACAATAACTAAAGTTGTATGAGTGGCTAGTTGTATACTCTTTCTATAATCACCTCTGCACTGTTATGTTAACAGATGCTTGCCAATATATATTACTAATAAAATTTTTAATTATATATACTTACCTTAATATCTAAAAAAAAACTTTTATTTTTGTTTAAAGTAAATTTTATAAAAAATAAATATTTTAGTTTTTTTTTTAAAAATTAATATAAAATTTATTAAAATAATTAATAATATTTATTTTTAACCTCTAGAATTGATAGCATAGTAATTATGCTCTAAGGTCACAAATTGCAAGATTGCTAGTTCAAATTCTAGTAATGGCAATTGTAAAGATACATTTCTAAAATAGAAAACTGCAACACTGCAGCACCAGAGATCTAGAACATCATTAGATAAACTTATTTCTATAAAAGGCAAGTAACCTGTGATTGAGAAGCCACCTAGTGATAAACATGAGTTAGAGTCTGATTTGGAATAACTAAAGCTATGAGACATAATGTGAAGCCGAAAGTCTAACAATAAGAGATACTATAGTTGTCTTCAAAAGTTTAGAATAGTTATACAGAAACATAAAAAAATAAAAAATTTCATCAGTATAAAATTATATTTATAATTGTTAATAATTTTTTAAATTTTTTTATGTAATATGTTTTAGTGTAATAGTTCTAAACTTTCAAGGCAACTATATATGAACTCATGATAACAGCCATTCTAAATAGAGCCTAGTAAAGCTCTCCAATTCTAACAAAGGTCAGTGTAACAGATTGCTTTTAAAAAGTTTAAAAATACAGACTGATAAAGGTTAAGGTCTAGTAACTAAGAACATTGAGAATATTAGTTCAAGATATAGAATACAAGAATAATCTCAACAAGATCATCAAAGAAGGAGAAAAAAATATTTATTTTTAAAATAGGTTTATTTTTTTTAAAAAAAAATATTAAGATAAGTACTTGTAATTTGAGATTTTATTAATAGTACATTCAGCTAATAGTTATATTACAATTACAAAAAACAATTATAAAAAGAGTATATAACTAGTTATTTATATATATAATTTTAGTTATTGTCTAATTTAAGCAGTCTGTCTAAAAGTTTTATACTAGCTTCTATATCTGAAACTTGCTTATAAGTTTTCTATTTAAACACTCTAGTTCTTATATTTACTCACTTACCTATACTTATTAATAACCTTAGTTTATATCTATAAAAATATGCAATAGTCACTAAGTTTTTAAAGCAGTTTACTTATATCAAGAACCTTTGATTTTGTACTAAACTTTTTAGAATTTTCTGTTTCTTATACTTATAGTTAATCTGATTATGTTATAACTAAAACCAACACTTGCAATTAGAATATACTATTAAACTGCTATATTCTTATAAAGTTTATCTTAACTCTAGTACTTACTTAATAATATATTCCTATTATTTTGATATTTAATTCAAGTTCTACTAAGCTTTCAGTTCAGATAGTTCAAAAAGATAAGTACAACTATACTTCTAATTTACATGTGCTTTAACATATAACCTTTTTTTCTAAAACTTTTTTTAGAATTCTAACAGCCTGACTGATTATAATAGTCTTTTTTTAAAAACTAGTATATAATCTAACTTTACAAGTTTTAGTTCTGTTTTCTAAATTTAGTTTTTACAATAGCATTGTTAAAAGTTTGATCTTTTTTAAAATAAGTTTATCTTAAAATATATCAAAACAAATATAACTAATAAATAAACATATCTAAATACATATTTTATTTAATAAAAAACTGTTAAATATTGCCTTAAAACTAACTAATATCTTGATTTTAACTTTTTTATAATATTTAGTTAAAATATATATAATTTTTATAACAAATTTAATAAATAAAATTAGTAATAAAAATTTTTTTTATTTTGTTAAAATTTTAAATCTATATAAAGTCTTTCTAATTTATATTAATATTTATATTAAAACTTTAATTAAAAACATTTTGATTAAAATTAATAATTTTTTTTATTAAATTTTATAAATCTATATTAATTTTGGTTAAATAATTACTTAAATATTTTTAATTAAAAAGAATAATAAGCTTAATGTAATAGTTAGATTGTTATTTTTTAAGTAGTAAATCTAGTATTCAAATCTTACTAATAACAAAATTTTGAAAAATGATTCTATTTTAACAAACTTATCTGTAATCTGAGATTTGTAAATTATGTAATTCTGATTATACTAAAACTAACTTTGAAAGTTTGCAATATTGTAAAAATAAATACAAAAAATATATACTTAGATAAAAAAACTTGTTTGAAAATTCTAAATAAAAAGATAATATAACTTTTAATAATACTATTTGTAAAGATTTTGACTTGAAAAAGAAAACTTAAAATAGATAATATGTATAGGCAATAGCTTCTAGATAAAAGGTCTATTAATTTAACTACTGGTTGATCTAAACATAAAGTTATATTATGCAGAACTAACTAGATTGATAGTATAAAAAGATTTGCAAAAATAGATAAAGTACTAATGAGGTTGTAAAAGAATAGTATTAACTTTATAAGTATTAAAAACTAGGTTAACTATAAATTAAAATATAAAAAACTCTAATAATAATATCTTGAAAATGAACTGTATGAAATAAAATAAATATTCTAAAAATATAAATAAATATTTAAAATTTCTCAACTGACATTAGTATTAAAAATGATTTAGTAATACAGTAAAAATTATAGTACAGAGAGTTTAAATAAACAAAAATAAACAATACCTGTAGTTGAATTGTAAGTATAACAACTGATGTAAAACCTATATATAGATGAACTACTTAAATTAAACACCAAAAGTGTATGTGTAACTAGATGTATCTCTAATGTAAAAAAGCTTCTCTAAAGTAATCAACTATGAATTTCTATGTCCTACTATATTAAATAAAAAAACTCTAGTCCCAGAAAGACTAGTTTAATATAAAAAAAAAATATATCTTTGATTAAAGTTTTATAAATATTAATATAGTTATTACAATCATTTATCCTTTATAATTATGTGGTTTGTTTCAAACAAAAAATATGATTATAAAAATTTTATTATATACAAATATTTTTTATAAGTTTATTAATGAAAAATTTAAAATTTAGGATAATTATATAGAATTTGTAATTATATAAAAGGTAATTATAGAGAAGTATAACTGTATTAAATTTATTATTAATTAATAAAAAATGATACCATCTATGTTATAATCAGACATGACCTAATCTTTTATTATTGAGTACCAATTTGTCATATCTCACTAAGGCATGTTTTGACTGACGATTTCCCGATTTGTTTTTAGAGGTTTTGCAGGTTTTATCAGAGGTTTTGTCATTTGAGGTGATAGGTTTCGTATTTTTTTCAATTTGCAAAAGGGGTTTGTCTAACAACACTAATCCGAATCCTTAGTAAACTCTGTAAAAACCAAACATAAAGCTTCAGAACACTTATCAATCCTCTTATAAAGTTCGGATTCAACATAGTAATTCTTTGAGAACTGAACTCTGATATTTTACATAAGGAACGGACTTTTTTGAATAGCGAGAGTTGACGGTATAAAAATTATTTTAAGCTCCAAAATTAATAAATAATTTGGGTTGGAAATTAGTAATAATATGAAACCCGCGTTGTGAATTAGTACGCGATAGCTAAACACGGACTTCACCCTAACGTATACATGCTGGCAAAACTAAAAATTTCAAAATCCCAAACCCCATCCCAAATATAATAAAATTCATCCCAAATCCCGATAGTTTTGCCAGCAAGTAATACCCTAACGTGATCTACGTATCGGGTTTCACCCTCTCCTATAATAATTACCAGTTTTTAAAAATTAATTGCTTAGAGTATGTTTTAATACTTTTTTACTTATTAGCTTTTGTTTAATATTGTTATACAGTTTACTACTTCTAGTTACATGCTTGTTGCTATATAATCACACCCTCATTATAACCATTTTTTGAAAAAATTATTGCAATATATTTATAATATATTTATCAAAAAAACTTTGAATAATCACATTACTATTAACATTTTATAGTCACATCTTTTTTATACAGCGTGATTATAGAGAAGACGGACTGTAATTGACTCTTTAATACCTTTTTAAATAACTTTTTTGCTTTTTAAAGCTAATGTCGCGAACGATGATAAAATTCTAACCTAACTTTAAAACGAAACAAAAAAAAAACATCGCAAAAAAATTTAAAAATCGTATATTAAATAGATCCAAATTTCAAAATTATCCACGACAGTTAATAATTCACGAATAAAAGTGTATATTTTGTTTAAAGGATAAATATAAAAAACCTATAACAAATGAATTTAATGATACATAATATTATAGTACAAAATAATACCAAAATAATAAATATTAAACTTTATTTATAATAAATAAATAAAGCTTTTCAAATTGTTCTTTAATATTCCAGAACTAAGTCAAGCTTTTTGCATTGCTTTTTAATATCCAAAAATAAGGAAAGTAAATGTGATTTATATTCATACATTTCTTCATAATCTCGGTTCAACCAGCTTTGTCCATGGAAAGACCAATCTTTTAATTGGTCATGAAGATCTCTTAATTGTTTAATTGTGCCTGTTAGACGGGAAATCGTTGATTGAAGATCTAGTTGAACATATAGGCCACCTCCAAGTGTTAAGCTGCCCGCGGCTGCTGCTGCTGCTGCTACACCGACTGTTGCATATCTCTATTTATAAATAGATGAATGTATTAGAACGTAAAATAACAATGATCAAAAAGAAAAATGAGTTATAAAATGAACAATACATCAGAAATTGATGTATTCAATGATTTATTCTTTCCGTCTTTAGGATTACTAGAGCTTTTCGAATAAGCGTATAATATGCCAGCACCAACGGTAACTGCAAGCGTACTATAAATTTAAAGAATCAGATCATAAATTATTTAAAAGCATGGTCTCAAGAGTATGCAGCTACTTGGGCAGACATGAAAACTGGCTTTGTTTGTGACTTACCAAGCACCAACAACTAATTTGGTAGTTAAACTTGTGTTTTGACCTTCCAGCTTTTTACGTTGTTCGTCACATTTAATACAAATATATTTTACAAGTTCCAATAAACTAATCGTAACTTCGCAAAATAATGATAAATATCCTATGTGATGTAATTGTCGGAATGTTAGTAGACGTGTTTTAAGTTATAAAGAGTATATATATTTAGTATATATTTCTTTACTCGCACATAATGATAATACCTTTTAATTTTTTATATTGCTCTCGTAAAATATTATCATCACCATCATCCAATCTAAGAATCCTTAAAATATTCGAAACACAACTTTCCATATTTGAAGCCATTTTTCGAAAATTTTGTTTTTCTTCTTCAAGAATATCTTTAACACTCTGATCAGCTGATTTAAGCTCTTGATAAGATTCATAAATTGAGTTGATAGTAACTTTAAGATTCCATAGAAAAATGAGTAATCCAAGCTTGCAGTCTTTAGGCTGTATTTTTAGAAAGAAGAAAATCATGTTGTTCATGTTAGAAAACCAAAAAAGATACTGAACAAATACCGTTAAACCTCCCAAAACCGATTTTGCAAAAATTGATAACCTATTAAATCCGATAAAAAAACCAATTTACCAAGTCTATTTCTGCTATATAAACTAATAGTTATATTTTTAAATCTGATAATCTCTTAATAGTTATACGTATATATATCAATTTCGGAAGATTTAACAGTAAATCAATTGTAAATTATATCAAATATTTACATAGGTACTAAATTGACTTTCGAAAAGATAATATTCTAAAGTTTTAACCATATAACGAACTATAGTATCTTTGATTCGATCAGGGCATAATATATCATCAAACATATCATTAACCATATCATTACCCTCGTAACCATCTTTTTTTATTCCCAAAAGACAATGTACTGAATTCAATTGACTAAAAAATTCCGATGTTAGATCATCGAAACGGATGCCCATGTCCCGTCTTCGAAATGTGTCATAAAACAATTGATCAAAAATGTTATCAGGATAATTTTGACGTTTTAATTTCAGATCTTCAGATAAGGCTTTTATATCCGCTCTTAATCTCTCTTCATCAATTATTTGATAATTTGAAACATCTAAATAGTCATCGTTTTGTGGAGTCGTAGGCATAGGCAAATCTTTGTCATTAATGGATGGATATATTTCCTTTAGTGTCATAGAATCCGTCGCAAACCAATCTAAAAGACCATTTTCTGAAAATTGCTTAAGCTTTGAAGTGGCATTCTGTAAATATTGAACCAAGTCAAAATGGGTTTTGTCGGTGAAATGAAATTTGACCTGGATATTAGATTGAAGTTGACAATAAGAATTAGTATTATTTGTATACTAAATAAATGTCGGGGAGATTGAAATCAGATTAGCTGAATTTTGAACCTTTTTTTTTAATATAAAATTTTTTATAAAGTTTTTTTATTTATTTTTTTTCCTTTGAGTTTGATTAGGAATTAAGATTGGATTTATAATTAGGAATTAAGATTGGATTTATAATAAAAGAGTACATTTTCAAATCATATCCCTAAATTTAAGCATCATTCAATTTCAGAATCATCAACAATGAACAACACTTTACCTTTGTTGATTCTCCGGTGTAATTGAATGTTTCGATATGGAAATATTTTTTGCCTTGCGGAAAAATTGTATCGTATAAAAGATTTTCATCGATTGGACCCTATTAATTTTTAAAAAAAATTGAAATCAACAAACTGTTATTCAATGTATTCATAGTTTTTACATACGTACCTTTAACTTTAAAACTTTAAAAGAAGAAAAGAATGAATTTCCATTTTTTTTATTCGGTAAATTATTTTGTTCTACAAATACAATTTCTTTTTCATGAATATATGCTAACGGTTGTGTCGACATGTTAAATATGTCTAAATTTCAGTAAAAGGTCTGCACAAATTACATTCATCGTCGGTGACCTTTTTAATTTCCTTAAATTTACTATACTAGGACATAATGGATTAGAGTAACAATAATTTCTTATTTTGGAAGTCATAACAGAGGCGTCAGACATGCGTAATGATACATAGTACGTAAAAAATTTAAAGATTGGTATAACGATAAAATTTAAACCGGAATTTTATTAAGAATTATTTAAATATTTCAAAGTGAAATAAATAATACAATTACTTGATACAAAACGTATTAAAATGTGAAATTATACTGTATTGGAATGTGGGTTTCACTTATTACCTTAAAACTCGGAAAATAAGCACCATATCCACTATCCCAATGACAAGTCCAGTCCAACAACCCTAAATTTTTCACATGATGACATACAATCAACCCTCCATAAATGCATGCAGTATATATATCATCTCTAAATGCACACTATATCTACATATAATGCACTTAATAAAATGCCCCCCATAAATGCATACCCTCCCTAAATGCATTGTGCTTCGTTATTGATTCTGAGTTTTAATTATGGTAAGCTACTTTTTTGTTGGCAATAACTATAGAATATCTGAAAATTGTGTCAAAAATATGTACATATTAAATAAATATCAGTATACTGGTAGTTTTAGACATTACCTTATATTCGTGTTTTGTAATTGTATGAATCCTAATGCAAGTTATTCTTTAATCCATTTTATATGATTCTTATATTTGTTATTAACAAAGTTTTGATACGTATAAAGCCTATTCCTAGTTACATCTTGATTATTTTACATTAATAAATCTTGACAATTACTTTAAAAAGCTCGTGAGATTGTTAGTAGTAGTTTTCACCTTTTTGGCAAATCCACGATGCAATTTAGGAGTTTTACAACTGTTGCCATATAATCATGAAGACACCATATTTTTAAAGCGATATGTAAAAATAAATAACCAAAAAAGGTGGATTTATTATTATGCAGTACTTACTGCATAAGTGTGTAGAGCTTGAGATATGAACCTATGTGTATTAAGTTATTCATACAATGATAAATATCTTTCACAGCAACAAAGATCATTTATGTACAGAGTTTTAATGTGATTAGTCTTTATATATGCCAAAAAATTAATAGCGAAAAAATTTTTATAATACCTAATATTTGTAAAACAGTAATTATTCGAAAGTAGTCGATTAAACGAGGAATATGGCAAAAGTTTGAAGAGAACTAGAAAAATTTGACGATAATACACTCTATCCCGTTACAACGAACCCTGTTAAAGCGAATTTCTTGCTATAACGGAGCAATTCCAAAAATTATTATTATTATTATATGCTATATATGCTATAACAGATATATATTTATTATAACTGATGGAATTTCCCAGCCCGATCACTCCTTTATAACGAGGGTAGAGTGTAATAGGCAAAGAAACTTAGAAATGGACGTAATAGTTTTCAGTAAGGTCAATTATTCACGAAACTGTAAAACTGATATCACAAGAAAATTGCAATTGAGCATTAAAATTTACAGTTTATTATCAATTATGTTCATTTAATTATTGTGTAGGCACTTTGTCTTATTGAAAAAGAATCTTCTCATGATGAATTACTTTTTACAGATAACTTTAAGTTTTTTGTTGATTTATTTAACCAATCAGAGTTATTGACAACCAACCAATTAAATAAAACTTTAGTGATCATTAAAATGGTAAAAAAAAATTTTTTATCGTCGATCAGTAACGTGGTTAACCCTTTAACATGGTTAAGAAGGTTGTCGATTCAAGGATTCCGACATTGATAAAAAATGGAGTTCAGAATAAACATAGATCATTATTTGTAATTGTTGGAGATAAAGGCAAAGACCAGGTATAGAATCATTTTAGATTAATCTTTTTTTTTTTGTTTTTTTTTTTATAGCAGTAAAACAAATCGTTAATAAATAACAGGTGGTGAATTTGCATTGGATTCTTTCACAAGCTCAAGTGACCGCAAGACCATCTGTATTATGGTGTTATAAAAAAGAATTGGGGTTTACTAGGTATGTGTAATTTTATTTAATTAATTTTAAAATATAAAATAATTAATTCTGTAAATTAAATAATAACAGCCATCGTAAAAAAAGAGAAGCAAAAATACGAAAGGAAATTAAACGTGGCATAAGAGAAGCTAATGAAGAAGATCCATTCGAGCTTTTCGTTGCTGTTACAAATATTCGGTATACATATTATAAGGAGACGCATAATATCCTAGGTAATACATATGGCATGTGTATATTGCAGGTACGGTTTTAACAGTTTGTAATTTTTTTTTTATTTTAATCATATCATGTCTGTTTCATTATGAATCATTTTATAGGATTTTGAAGCATTAACTCCGAATCTGTTGGCACGTACAATTGAGACTGTAGAGGGTGGCGGCATTGTTGTAATATTGCTTAAGACTATGAAATCGTTAAAACAGTTATTTACATTGACAATGGTTCGTATTAACACTAATATTTATTTGAAATAATTTATTTTAACTATTAACAAAATAGTATTGTTTATAAAGGACGTACATTCTCGTTACCGGACTGAAGCTCATGGTGATGTTATTGGCCGATTTAATGAACGTTTCATCCTTTCCCTTGGATCATGCGAAAATTGTCTAGTAGTTGACGATGAATTAAATGTATTGCCAATATCTGCTGGAAAAAATGTTAAGCCTTTACAGTTAAAGCCATCTGAGGAATCTATGTCTGATGAACAGATTGAATTAAAAGAATTTAAGGCATCATTAGCGGATACACAGCCTGTTGGTTTACTTGTTGCCACAGCCAAGACATTAGATCAAGGAAAAGCTATTCTTACTTTTATTGAAGCTATATCAGAAAAGAAATTACGTAGCACAGTAACACTTACAGCTGCTCGTGGTCGTGGTAAATCTGCTGCACTTGGAATTGCAATCGCTTCTGCTGTTGCATTCGGTTATTCAAACATATTTGTTACATCCCCTAGTCCCGAAAATTTGAAAACATTGTTTGAATTTATTTTTAAAGGATTTGATGCTTTGGAGTATGAGGAGCACTTAGATTATGATATTATACAATCTACAAATCCTGATTTTAATAAAGCCATAGTTAGAGTTAATGTATTTAAACAACATCGGCAGACTATTCAAGTGTGTACTTTGACATTTTACTGTTTCATTTTTGTTTTGTACTTTTTATATTGATGCATTTTTTCATACTTAGTATATACAACCACAAGATGCACATGCTCTTGGACAAGCCGAGTTATTAATCATTGATGAGGCTGCTGCCATTCCATTGCCATTGGTGAAGAATCTTATTGGTCCTTATTTAATATTTATGGCATCAACCATAAATGGCTATGAGGGTACTGGTCGATCTTTATCTCTCAAACTTATTCAACAACTTCGAGAACAATCAAAGGGTTTTGTTGGCCAAGAAAATAGTGTAGAACCTGATGATGGTATGATGGTAATTAATCGGAATGGCAAGAACAAAAAAAATGCATTTACATCATTCAATGGTGCCTTAACTGGCGGCCGAGTTCTTAGAGAAATTAAACTTGAAGAACCTATTCGTTACGGCTCTAATGATCCTGTAGAACAATGGTTAAATAAACTTTTATGTCTAGATGCGGCCATTATTTCAAGAAACATTCAAGGGTGTCCGCATCCGCAACAATGTGAATTATATTGGGTAAATCGTGACACCTTATTTTCGGTTCATCCCGTTTCGGAGTTGTTTTTACAAAGAATGATGGCACTTTATGTTGCTAGTCACTATAAGAATTCACCAAATGATTTACAACTGATGTCAGATGCTCCTGCACATCACTTGTTCGTTTTGCTACCCCCCATAAAAGGTGACAATTCGTTGCCTGACCCTTTATGTGTTGTTCAGGTAAGCATCTAATATAATTATTTTGGAAGGGATCTATATTATATAGTAAGAGTTACCGTATAATTGATCTCAATGAGATTATGATTTGTTAATTATTATTCATGTCATATCAGTGGAGACCCCCTCATATATGTCTATATCTTACCTACACAAATATTAAATAATAATAAATAAATAAATTGCAGGTGTGTTTAGAAGGCGATATATCCAAACAAGCAGTCCTGAATAGCTTGAAACGCGGTAGAAGAGCTAGTGGAGACTTAATCCCGTGGTTAATTTCACAACAGGTTTCAAATCAGAAAATTTTTTTTAGTAATAGTAGATATAAAAAATTAAATAATATAATTAATAATTTGTAACTTGTCTCCAGTTTCAAGATGATGACTTTGCTAGTCTTTCTGGAGCAAGAATAGTAAGAATAGCAACACATCCTGATTATATGAAGGTAAGTTTGATTGTAAATTACAGTAATATAAATAATATTTTGTCGATTCTTACATTTGTTTTTAATTTCCTTTTTTCTTAAGATGGGTTATGGATCACGATGTCTTGAATTGTTGAGTGCATTTTACCAAGGTGAATTCTCTACTTTGAAAGAAAATGAAGATTACGCAGAAGAAACTATGGTGAGAGCTGATGACTCCGAATTAGAAGTATGTAACATATATTTTTATTTTATTTTATTATTTTATCAAGATTATTGGCTAATTTACAAGTCATAATCACAGAATGCAGATCTTCATAAAGATGATATTAAAATTCGAGATCCTCATAAGATGCCGCCATTATTATTAAAACTTTCAGAGAAAAGACCTGTTCTATTACATTATCTTGGTGTTTCTTATGGTTTGACACCGTTATTGTATAAATTCTGGAAGAGATCAGGGTTTATTCCACTTTATATGCGACAAACTCCAAATGATTTAACTGGTGAACATACATGCGTTATGCTCAAGGCTTTAAAATCTGATGGTCTTGTAACAACATGTAATCCAGAGTGGTTGGCAGCATTTTCAAAAGATTTTCATAAAAGATTTTTGAACCTACTGTCTTATCAATTCAGGGATTTTCCTAGTGTTTTATCATTGAGCATTATGGAGACTGCTGATGCTGGTTATAAAAATGTAAATAATAATAAACAGAGTAAGTCACCAACATTTATAGTTTTACTAAAAATAAATATATATCTAACAATACAATTTGATCGTTTATTTATATTAGAATTCACAAAAGATATTCTCGATTCGCAATTTTCTGTTTATGATCTTAAGCGTCTTGAGTCATATTCAAATAATATGTTGGATTATCATGTAATAATGGATCTTATTCCTACAATTGCTTATATATACTTTAGGAAACAATTTGGCATAGATGTGGTACTTTCCGGCGTGCAGAGTTCGATATTATTGGGTATGGGTTTACAAAGAAAGAGTATTGATGATTTAGAGGTATTTCATTTCTATAATTTCTAAGTTTCTAAGATTATTTAATCATCAGTATCATGGTACATGTAATATTATTCTCACTCTGTTTTTATATTTTCATATTTTCTTTAGAAAGAGCTTACACTTCCTTCAGCGCAAATTCTCGCATTATTTATGAAAATTATTCGTAAATTTTCCGCGTATTTTCGATCTTTGGAAATATCTGAAATTCAGAAAGAAATTCCTCATGAAACAACCGTAGTAAAGAAAAAAGCAGTTACCACTTCCATTGATTCAACAGAAAAAAACATTAAAAATATAGTGAATCCTCAAATTGATAACGATGCAGCATGGGATCCTGTATCGAAGACTCTAAATGAAGATTTAGATGAAGCTGGTGATGATGCTATGAAGCAAATAAGAGAAAAACAAAGAGAATTAATTGATTCGTTGGACCTGTCAAAGTGATTCTTTTTTTTTTTCATACTTAAATATTTTTATTATATTTAAGTCATTTTCGATTGATTTGACTTGTTATCATCTTTATAGATATGCGATAGGCGGATCAGCAGAAGATTGGGAGGCAGCAGAATCACAGATAAAAGCATTAACTTTAGGAAAGAAATCGAACTTAACAGTTGTTAGTGTTAAAAATCAAAATTCTACGAAAAAAAGAAAACTTACTGAAACTGCTGCAAATATTGTAAATCAAGAAGCTAAAAAGACTAAAAATAAAAGAAAAAAATCACATAAAAAGTGAAAAATTAAAAAATGTTAATGTTATACTTTTAAATATATAATCTATAGTATGTTTTTATTCGTAAATTGATGTTTAAAAAACCAATTACTTTTGTTAATTGTATACAAACCAAAGAGGTAACTTTTAAAGGTTAATAGTTCATATTTTGGGGTCAAACCAACTTAATAAATGTATTCTAACTCATTACCACGTTTAACTAATCTTAAAATATGTGAGAAACTATACATTTTGCTATGTATATGTTGTGCCCCAAATGAAAATCGACCCGATTGTAAATTGGGACAGCTCAGATTAAAATTCGGTTTTGGGATATTAATTTCGAACTACCTCTGTCGGTGCCACTGGGGTAGTTTAGTTGTATCTAACCAAAGTCGATCAATAAGCTCATGGATATTTTCATTTGCATATATAATGTTATTTCAGCCTCAATAGAAAATGCTTAACGTTAAAACGACTTGATTACATAATAAAACGGAAGGTCATTCTACATGCATAATTTATTTAGCTATCGGTTAAAAGCTCATATTGATTATCATTCTACAGAGGATCACGTTCCTGCATTGTAACTATCGCTATATAGTAAATAATCTTTGAGTATTTATTTCTATTTAAGGTTAAATAAAGTAGGTTTTTATATGCAACCAAAAAAGATATAAAATAAATGCTTTCCAACCCATTCTAAAAATGGGGTTTCGACTTTTTTTTTTTTGTGATGTACGATTCGAGTAATTTAGGCACGTTCTTTGTCAAATCAATCGTGAAATGTTCCCAGCAAAAAGGAGTGATGACAATTTGGAAATAAATGAAATGTGAGAAATTGATGGGTTTGTTTGTCTTCAAAGGTTTAAAATGAATTCTTTCGAGTTAATTGTTGTCGCCGTTCTTATTGTCGAGTCTAATTATACAAAGGGGTTGAGAGATAAGGTGGATATTGTTGAGTTATTAAAGAGTTTTGGTCTCAAAGCTATTCATAGAGGGTAAGCTTTTTTACTAAGTATTTGTTGAGTTATCATATATCCGAAGTTGCACTGCCCCACTGGTGTAAAATGTCTGAGAAAAAATTGAAAGCTCTTCGTGGCCTATGTTTCGACCGACATAGAACGTTCTTGTTTCTCAGTTATTTGGTGTTCCTGCGGTTGTGTGGTACACGGGGAATTAATGGGTAAATAGGATATATGCTAACTAATGAGTGCGTTACCGTAGACTATTCCGGCCGTGCAATATTTAGTTGTTAATGACTATGACATAAATACTTACTTTATTATTTAATAATAGTGGTAAAGGAGATGGTGGTGTCGATGTAGAAAGTAAAATTAAAAAGAAAAAATTTATATTTAGTCTAAAAACTGGCATAACAAAATAGGTAAATATTGTGTTTATTTATTTAGTTTCTTTTTAATCTTATTAATAATTAATTAATTATAGGTCTGGATGTTATCAGAGAGTTAAGAGGAGTAGTATGTTTAGAAGGTGTTGTAGGTATTGTAGTTGGCAATGAATTTTCTCCCGATGCAATAAATGAGGCCAATAAATCTGAATCTTTTCCTATCATTCTAACTACTAAAACTCGACTCCCTTTAACTCTTCTTAATCTTACTCTCGATATTATTCATAAAACTCCTATCAAACTTTCTCGTTATAACAATTTTATCTTAATCATTAATTTCGTTATATTTGTACTTACTTTTTTCAGTCCTTACATCTAATTATTAATAAAACTGGCCTTGGTGTATAAATTTCATAGTAAAAATCGGTGGAGAATTACTATTACTTTCATATAACGTTGGATGACAATATGTAAAAGTCACACATAGGAGAAAATGTGATCTACAAAACCAATTTGAATAATTCTACTACTATTAGAACCAGAATACCTTGCTCTCTAATCTTTGTTGAAAGGTATACTTAGCATAAAAAAACTTTTCATTGTAAGCTAGCTGCATTCCAACTCTATAGGCAATTTCTACTATTAAATTTGCTATTTTTATACCCTTTAACCGCGATTTACCTCTTAATTCTTTTATTCCAATTTTTATATTAGATATTTATAATAATTTATTGGACATAAGCAAAGAAAAAATCTATCTTGATACAAAACAGAAAAAAAGAATCAAGTCTACTAGAGATTAATTACATTAATAATATTAAACCTCCTTTTTATCAAGCATCATACTTTCAACGTCCCAATAATAAATCATCTGACCAGTTAGAATACAATTACATATAGATGTTAAAAGAAACCCAACCAAAATAATGTTATCATCAACTTCTGTAAGAGTGGTAAAGATTCTAGCCAATGAACCCAAAGTGAATCCAAAAACCGCAAATGCTGACAATTGACCTGTGCTTCCATTTTTATAATTCGTAAATATCTGTGGAATTTTCGAAAATAATGCTAATGGAATAGCCAGAGTTTGAAGAAGTGCTAGCATTGAATCACTAACAAGTTCTGGAGACCAAAGCGAATATGTAGTTACAATTAAGGAAATGCATGTAATGATGAGATCTCTACTACGATTCGCGTAGTGTAACATTAAGATTAATATAATGGCATTTTGTATCGTCAAGAAGAATGATTCACCAAATGTACTGAACGGGTTGTCATTGCGAAGATTATATGCAAGTCCTACACCAAATGCACATGTTTCCAAAACTACACTTTCAAAACTTAAACCACGTGAAGATCGGGCGTTAATGATCTTAATGATTTGTGGAAGTTTTACGATCGATCCGGCTAAAATGATTCCTAGGCCAAGACCCTTGGACAAAAGAAGTTTGAGGCATGCAATGTCGCCGATATTAAGGTTCTCTACTAATGATGTGTAGCATGTTTCACCTATCAAATTGACTGCTGGGTATTTAATTATATTCGGAAGATAGACCATCGTTGATAAATACTTATAACACCTTTAATTATATGAACATATAAATATTATTAATAATTTGAATTAAAAATTAAATCTTAACAAGTTCTTGGATCATATCACATTTTATAAATGACAAAGATACGAAATTAATGGAGCAAGTAAAATACAATTGCTCAACTTTTGAGCAAGAACTCATCGATATCTAATGATGGGTTATTTGTAAAGAAACTTGATCATTAAAGTTCTATTGCCATTGATAATTCGTTGTATCTGTATTGATTACCATCTGAATTTTCCAAACAAATAGAGAATTAACTCACTGTTTTGAGTCAACCCTTAGAAAAACATACCAAAAATTCGGCTTCTTACTAAAAAACAACTAGTACGATTATCAGGTTTAAACTAATAGATAGAAAATCGAAATTCATGTAACTTTGCGATTTATAAAAGTGATAAGAAATTAACGATGCACCAATTTATGTCTTTGTTCCTAAAAAGGTAATACATTGTATTGCAAGCTCGATTGGATAATTATAAATCATAACACACCAATTACCAATTGTAAATTTACACGATTTCAGTGATTTCAGTGTAATACAGTTGTATACGTATGTATGTACGTACGTATAGTACAAACTTATCTGTTACGTATCGAAATGGGGTCAACATATCTAAATTTTATATCTTGTTATATATATTTTATTATTTAGTTTATTATTACTTTGAAACCAGTACGTAATCTAATTACAAAGATGCTTTAATTTACTTATTCAAGAAAATGCAAAATCAACAATTTTTTCACATAACATCCTAATCCTCTTTAAAAGATATAAATAATCTTTAGTGGATTAACACATTGTGTTTGTACGATTTTCTAATACATATCAATATATTTATACGTATAAAATGGTTTACATTAGGAAACTTGGCATAATAGGCATGCAGCATGCCAAAATACGTACTTAAAATCTATTAACGGTTAACAATATTAATATGTAATATTTTAGAAAAAAAATCTTATATTATGCCATGCTAGGATTGCTGTTCTATACTTTCAGGCAGATCTTGATCTGGTAAAAGTCTTCGATGTAATGCGATTACTTAGGTTAAAATTTTGCTATGGTATTGTAGACATGTGTATAGATAAAGTTAGAGCTGATCGAATTTAAAATAAAAAATTTCAATTCTCTCGATTAATCGAATAGATGATCATATTATACAATATCATATTTGATCAGTTAAAATAATATTTAGGTTGAAAAGTTAAATTCCGAATAAGTTAAAATCAAAAAATATTCAAGTTTGACTAATTTATTTAGCGTCTTCTGCGATATATAAAACATTGCATTAAAGTAGGCCTCCGCAAAGGTTATCCGCAATTTCTGAATTTTTGGAGGTTATAAAAACTGTGTTCCAACAATCGGTACTTGAGCGAAATTGGTATGTAGAATAGCATGGTAAACCAACTCGGACTCCATTTGTGCCTGTTTCCGTTATAGTCAGGCCCGGCTCTCAGGTCCATACCCACCTGACTTTAAAGAACACAGTTGTTATAGCCTCCAAAAATTCAAAAATCACAGGAATTTTTGCGGAGGTCTATATTAAGGAACATATAATACAGTATTTGCAATATCATTCATGAAATTTTCATAGTATTTTCGCGAAATAACGAGTATGAGAGTTATTTATAAAATTGCCTTCCCTCAAAATAGTATTCCATATATACAGTATCTGTGATATAAATACCAGATTTCTCTTGGCACTACTACTTATATATAATACATACATTTTCGTTACTTAGAAAAGCAAGTTTATTAAAAATCAATCTTTATCTCGAAATAACGCCAATACGCGTACTCTAATTAACGCGCATATATCAAAATAACGCACATATATCAAAATAACGCGCAGTTTGGCGTTATTTCACGAAAATACCATAATACCCCACAGCTACCTTTAAATCTGAAATTTCCATAATACCCAATATTAAAAAACCCAAGAGATTTTAACTTGATATAATGTAATGAGTAATTTATACTATTTTATTATGCATATTTTTTTTTAAAAAAATATAAACTATAAATTCATGCTACAACTAATTGAGTATACATCTGGCTCGTTCCTGAGTTACAGAAATCTCGAATCCATCAATACAAACAATAATAATCCGTTAAACTAAATGTTAAAAATCAAGTTAAATCAGATAATAGGTTACTTAATAAGATAAAACTTTTGAAGAAAAAATTATTAATTGCAATTGATTTAACATAAAAAATATAAAGTTAAAATAATGATGATAATAATGTTAAAATAAATAAAAAATTTATAAATACTGTACATATACTATAAATACATTCTTTAAGCAATAAACCCTCGATAAATATATACATCGGCATTCATTTGACTAGACCAAAATACATGTTTCCTTATAAAGTCATCAAGATGGTTTTCATCAGTTTTATATTGTGGTAAATTTCCTTTTGCTTGCGTTGGTTTTCTTAAGGATTCACCCAAAAATTTAACTTGTGATCCACCTGTAACTTCTTTAATAATTTTACCGGTCTTCAATGAAGCGACTTCAATTGTTTGTTTTTCAAATGCCATGAGTAATATATCATCAAAAGTTGGTAAAAGAGTAATATGTATTGGATCAGATGACCAGTGTATAGGTCGATGATGTTTGTAAGGTTCAGCATGTATATTGACGAGATAGGAAGTATTTGAGATTGTACAAACAAAGACTTGTCCTGGTAATAATGTTTCAAATGTAGTCTTAGGCGAAATTGGTGGTGATAAATGAACATTCGAAGTTGTTTCGGATGGAAATTCAGAAGAACGGCGACGTGTTTTATCTTGATCTAGTATATCAGCCGAAATCCTATTAGTCTGGTAGGTAAAACGACGTGAAACACCATCATTTCCCTTTTCTGATGGCAAACTATGTGAATAAATTGGAAATGATGGAGAAAGAGTGGGTTGATGATATGGAGGTGACAAAGGTATAATGGTTGGACGATCATCAATTATAATAGGATTATTATTTAAAAAATCTAAAGAATATGAGTATGGAATCTGTATGAAGTTTGTCCATGATGGAAATTCTACATCCTTTGGAGTAATACTTTTTTTTATGTTAATCTCAGTGACATCAGTCGTATAACAATCGATAATTGCAGCCCTACGACTACCAATACCAGTAATTGCAATTATTTGTTTAATGGATGATGAATCTGTGATCACATTAACAAAATTTAATGATCCAGGAACATAATAAGATTTTAAAAATTCGAATTTACAATCCGGAGAGCCTTTCATTTCTGTAGGCATTGAAAAGAGAATAATTCCATTATTTAACGTGACTGCCATTAAGAATATAGTATTCTTTATCTCAATGATATCAAAAGTTGTACAATCTTTTACAGATTCAGGTAAACTTATATAATCGGTTGCCCAACGCCACATATTGGCTCTTTCACTGGCATTTATACCAGAAGAGTTTGAAAGATAATTACGAACGTAAATAGATAAATTAGAAGTAAAATGGGATAATTTGCGGTTTAATTTCGAAGGAGATGGTTTAAGCGGCTCAGATGAATTAGAATTTGATGCTAATTTTGAATTAACGCTAGGAGCAAATCCACAATAAGGACAATTAGGACTAGTACGATCTTCATTTAATACGTGACCACATCTTTCACATTTAGGAGCAGCAATTTTTTTAGGAGCTTTAGAAAGATCAATAGGAGATTTCGATTCAGAGTTGTTTACAAATTTGATTAAATGTAATAATGAATCTAATTTGTACATTCTGATCATATCTCTCTTTCCAGAAATTGCAATCATCATATTATACTCCTCAAGAATGTGTAGTTTCTTAAATGAACATCCACGAATTAATTGTATTGGTTTTATTAAATCCCAATGAATCGAGAAATCCATTACCCACAAACCATTATCATTGCCAAGAAGTAAATACTGTTTATCAAACATTACAGCGCTATTCATTTGCTCAGGTATGCCATTGTTGGGAGATCCAATAAGTTTACTTTCAAATTCACCTTCATTTTCTGAAGGAGGATGAATGCTATAATTTAATGTAGTAGGGGCACGTCGTAAATTTGGAGCCTTGTATATGAAAAATTAATAGATTATTAGGCGTTCAATTTTTATTCAATTTTTTTTTCGGAGGGGGAGGATGTATAATTCTTACCTCAAATCTTGATGGTTGTTGTGCATTGAATTGGGTCCTTGATACCACGTTTATTGGAGGTATATTATGTGGGGGACCTCCATTAGGTAAAGGTAATTCAGCAAATTGTTCAGCATTATAGTGAGTGTAAGGATTAACATTAATATTGGTTTGATAAAAGTCACTTTGTGGATTTTGCATTTTTCTTTTTTTTTTCTTTGTAATATATTTTTATTAAAGATTTAAAAGTAAAGGAAGCGTTTAAATACGTAAAAAGGTGTTCGATATAGAAAGGAATATTTACTGAATACGGTGACACAGAACATTATTCTTATACTTTAATCGGCGTATCTTCATGTTTCATGTGTTACGGTATGGGTTCTAAAAAAAATTTATTTTGTGGCATATGATCGAGAGATATTTAGTATAGTAATTGTATACATTCCGAAAATATATTAAGAGTGCACAAAAAAAACCATAACACAAGAGTAGATTAAATCTTGTATAACCTTGATATTACAAAACCCCATCCATATAGTTCATGCCATGTATTTAACACACATATCTAAATCTTTTGAAATGACTTAGAAATAATAATTAGCAAATTGAATTAAATTTGCAAGTGAAATGATATATTGTATTTTTATTTTTATTTTTTGCGTAATATATTAAAGGTATCTACCGTTTTTGCAACCAGAACGTGTTGTCATGATCACCACTATTTCGTAAATCCGGGTTAAAAAAGTATATCACTTCCCTTTATTAGTTTGATGCAAAAAAATGCAAATGATTCCTTTTGGTTGACTTGGTTTCCCAAATTAAATGTAAGTTATAAATGTGGCAATATTGCAATGTAATGTGGCAGTGCCGCGGCAATGCCGCAATTCGGTAAGTTTTGACGTCACTACAGTATTAAAGTATGTCAGATTGTATCATTTTTTTTTTTTACTGAACCATTATCGTTATGCTCAAATTTTTTGTAAAAGCTCAAAGTTCAACTTACATATATCTAGTATTGTATAAATTTTTTATGAATAAATGTATTTTATTAGTCGACAGCGTAACAGTTGACATATGTTTAATTTACCTAATTTATTTATTATCAAATCATGTATGAATTGTCGGATAGTCCGGACTGGGTAAAAATAAAACCTATATTACAATTACCGATATGGTTCTGTATTACATGGAAAAAAAAATTTGTATTTTACGTATTATATGATTCACCTTATCACCATCCGAACTTCTAAACCTAGTCTGATGAAGTAAATACACTTATTTTAATAATTATATTCATGATACGTATTACGATTATTGCTATGAAATAAAGTATGCTCCGAACCAATGATTGGTACGTATACGTATGTGCAAAATATTTCCATATGGATATTTAGCGGAAGGCTATGTTTCCACCATCCATATTTAGAAATTTATAAAGGTTTTAAGCCAATACGTATTCATAAAATGCAAATCACGTGACAAATATAAAATGCCGCCCGGCTTTTAGATTATTCCCATATTTATCAAGAATCTGCATGCTTCGGCGGATATGGACACTTCGCGCCATGTACGCACAACGCCAATGTGCGATCCGGAAACCAGGCTTTCTATCATACAGAAATGATTTCTTAAATTGACACAAGTTACAGTAACCAAAAAACTAATTTTGAACACATTCTTACTAAGCAGTGCTATATATATATTGTTCGTGGCTTCCTAGTTTTAGCTATTGTTCTTTAGATATACCCGATTTATCCATTATTTTTGTTTATTATTTATGTTATCAGGTTTTAAAAATAGTCTAGTGCTAAAAATAAAGCAAACTGGTGTTTATCTATATTTAAATCGGCTTTCTAGTTCAATGCTATTTTAAATTCCATCAAAAGTAAGAAAAAGTGATATGATGTGATTTTTTTGCTTTATATTTTTGTTATGATTACGTAAACATTTGTCAAAATACCATTAATATAAAATATATTGTTGGACTGTATCATATTGGTTGTATATTCATAACAGAAAATTTCATCAGACTAATGCTACTTATATACAACTGATATCATATATACAGACCAATCAGCTATAATTCCTGACTCTAATGCTAATTATTTAATCCCAAATCAATCTGATATGGTTTTGAAAATTTTCCCTGTACCATACGTGTCTCTAAATTACGCAGATCAGTGTAGTGTAGGTTTAAAGTTGGCCTATACCATACGGATCAAGTCACCTATACTGTACTGATCTGCTGTAATTTTCGTAATATTGACCAATGTTTAAAAACTATACTGACCCGGCTTTTTTTATATTAGCGTTAAGGTTAGAAATTACAGCTGATTGATATGGTATGGTTTTTAATACCATATCGATGATCTACGAAATAGATCATTCTGAAAATTGCAATTAATTGGTACCCCTGCACGTTTAATTAAATTTTCACATATTGTCCCGTCACAGTGCACTTATGGAGTAACTAATTCGTAGACAAATTGATTTCATATACAGTTTACTTCGTCGGCGGCTCATTTCATAGAAATTTATTTCATCACGATCATTAGGATTAGGTTTAGAATTAGAATTATGTTGTCACGAGATGTTTTTACCGAATTGTTGGTAAGATGATATTATGAACGAAAATAGGAGAAAAAATAGATTAAGGCAAATAATTTAAGGTAATTTGCCAGAGGTGACTCAGCAGAGAGTGTTTTATTTAATAACTTTAGAAATGTATAGTTTTGATTTATTGGATGATTTTATTTAACCCGAAGGTTCTTAATTCTTTTACAATGGTAAAAGTACAGAATTTTTATAACTTTTACACCACACTAAGAGATTTAGGGTGACGAATTCTTTTATTCACAATCAAACTTTTAAATCATAATAGATTACTTTAAATGAAGGGACTTTACCGTCATTACGTTTATTTATTTATTTTTTTGTTATGGGCTTTTACAATAGACAAAAAGTTTCATTACTTAAAGAACTATAGCCACAATATTTTATTCTTTTTTTCAGGTCTCCTACGCGCTCTCGTTCTTCGGACGTTTAGTTGTCGCGTTTGTTTATCAGAACTGTTTATTATGATCAGCGATAAGCCTCACTTAAACCGAATATCCTTAGCCTCGACCATAGTGGCGTCCTCAATCATGGTATTTATGGCATAGTTACATCTTAATCTCGGAAATATTTCGAAAATGTCACTTTTAACCTGTAACAATGTTTATGGCTAGTATAAATTAGAAAAAAAATTTGTATATCGATTATGAAACGAGTTATCAGTGAAGTAAATGGTTTATGAAATAAACTGTCGGCAAAATAAACTTTCTATGAAATTAATTGGATTTTCTGTAAAACAAATCTGTGAATCAATTGCCTATGGAAGATTGTGAAATGATACGGGATCCACAATTTATGACAGTGATAGCAAAATGACAAATATAATAGGAGAGGGTGAAGCTCGCGCTGTAAATTAGTAAAATCCGCTACGTAAATCATATTAGGGTGAAATCTGCGTTTTTTTATTATGCAGAAGCGGATTTCACCCTCATGTGATCTGCGTAGAAGATTTTACTAATTCATCACCCTGTCATACGTAATATAATTTTTTATGACATTCAAATTTTATAATGGAAATTTTAATTTGATAGCTTAATCACAGATCAGGAAAATTTGCTTGGAAAGCAGTTTAAGGGACAAAATTTTATTCACTAGCCATTTAAAAAGTGCTTGCTGATTTTTGTGCATGTTCCCGTGCTTGTGCCAAGGCTTTTGTGTGCCTGTACCCCAGCTTTTGTGCAAAGTTTGTGTGCCTGTACCCAAGCTTTTGTGCAAAGTTTTTGTGCCTGTGCCAAGTTTTTTGTCTGTCTGTGCTCATGCCTAGAGGTACAGACATAATGTGTCATTAGTTACACCTATTTTAAAAACATATTTTTTATATTTTTATATTGAGGTAAAGGTTATACCTTATTACGACCTTGTTACGTAAATATATCTCATACACATGTCCGTGCCTATACCTGTGCTCATGCCTTGTGATGTGATTAGAATTGCTAAAAATTTTAAAATGTCATCCATTGTAAAAATTAAATGCGATAATTAAAGGTCGGGGATGATGCTGAGAATTTTGGGTCTCAATTTTACTAAAATCCACATATACTCTTACTGCAAACTCAACCTAAATTCTAACCTACCTCTAAAAATAAAATAGTATAAAATTTTTTGAAATTTTATATTAAATTCTCAGCATTATCCCCGACATTAAATATCACAACTTCGTGAATAAAATACGAAATATTGTATAACAAAATTAAAGATTGTTGAATATTAGTGCAAACATCTGGAACCAACGGAACATTATAATGAATACTAAAGCTTTAGATACAAAGCAAGAGTGCTTAATATATCTAATATAATGTTACGTTAATATAGATTCTTATAGAAATTTTTATGAATATTTGAATGTTTTTTAAACCTATTTTTTGTGCCTTCGTAAAACCAACTTTCTGATAATGCCGAAATCAGATAGTTACATCCTGTCAAAAACGTAAGCAAACCATCCCAAAAGCGATATATAGTCGGTGAATTTTTTTACGACTTAAAAAGAATCAGAGATAGTACAGAAATAAAGTAATTATTTACACAATAAAAATGCCTGATTTTCCAACTTACCATATTTTCGCGAAATAACATGCATACGCGTTATTTCGAATCATGGCCCGAATTAAGATTAATTTAGGCCAAACCAACATATGCTTTGTTTAGATGAAGAGAACCAACTTTGACGAAACCAGTGGATACTCTTGCTAGGTGAAGTCAAACCATTGTAAAAGCCAAACATTTACCTCAAATGTAAGTAAGGTGAACTGTATGTTTTCGTTAAAATCCCATTGTTAAATTAGCCCAGCTAATATTTGGATATTAGGTATTCATAGCTTATGTCGATCTATTTTTTGTCACGTTTGTAAATTTAAAAGTACGATGAAAATTTTGGTTGTTAATTCTCTATTATCAGATAGTTAGCGCCATGAACATGATATTTGGCACATGACGATAAGTCTGATACTTTAAAAGATATTCAAAACTATCAATATTATTTTATTTGCCTGGTTAAGATTTTTTATTCGAATAGTTGTTGCAGACGACTATGTACAATGTTAATTACATAACATCGCGTATCTATTCCCTGCCATCCCTTATTTATACACATGCTTTGTTTTTTTTTAATGCACGATTAGTTTATATTGTTAAAATAGCATTGCATTAGTTTCTAACAAAAACCCCTTTATTAGGGTTACATTACAGGCATAATGATAACGACAAAACTTTGAAATCGTAAAAAAAAAAAAAAGAGCATCTGATACTGTGTATATTAAAATATGTGAAGAATGTCAGATAAAAAATGCTATAAATAAAGTATGAAAAAAATATTATAGATAAAAATACTATAAATAAAACTTAACAGGTAAGAATACTAGATTAAAAACATAAAAAGAACTATATAAATTTACAAAAAGAAAATTTACATGAAAGTCTTAAGAATATTTACATAAGGTCATTTTCGAAAAATGTGATATGAAACATGATCGAATATTAACATGAAAAAACAATTCTTTGAAGTATTTGACGAAGGGAATAATAAATGAGTGAAAAGTCAACAATAATACTTTTGATCCTATTCCTTTGATAATAGGAATTATTATAATTTAGAATAGAATAAGAAATGGTCAACAACAACCATCTCTGAATTTGGTACAATAGAGGCATTTATGGTTCTATATCATTAAAGTCAATATTTTCACCGATCGGACCGACAGTGAAATTACTGTCATCAAAGTAAGTTTGTTGAGTAATATTCGTATCATTATCAAGTAAAGAATCAAATAAATTGTATTGATTTGCCATGTCAACTGCGGATGCCTGCTCCGAAACATGGTCTTGTAAAGTGTCTGTTGATACATAAATACTCGTATCTGATAAATTAGGTATGGTAACCGCATTGAAAGTAAAATCGTGGTCATTCAACGATTGCGTTAACATGGATGAAGAATCATATTGTTCAAAAACAAAAGGTAATGTTGAATAATTATTTAAAGTGGAAATATCATTGAATTGATCGAAATCGACTATGTCACTTGATTGGCTAAAGTCGGATATGTCAGATAAATTACTAAAGCTTGTTGTTGGTGCATATGTAGATATATAATCAAAGATGTCCTCTTCAAAGGAGCTTGTGGAACTACTGGGGAGCGAAGTATATTGTATGGACGGAACTCCAGAGATGACTGGTTCATTTTCGTTTGATATTTGTTTATTTTGTTGAGTGCGATTATATGGTTGTGATATTGCTCTTGCCAAATCTTTATTTGGACGATGGCGAATTTTTAGAGGGGTCATTTTCGTTTTTGTAACTGAATTATCGGATACATCTGTCGTGGCTTGTTGAAAAATATCAAACCCTGTTGACAATTCATTTCCGTAGAGCTGAGTGGAATATTGAGTAGTAGAAATGGGATCTTTTGAATCTTCTTGAAGAATATCATTTTTAACTTCATTTGTTCGCATCATTGCTATTTTTGTTGTCATCGGTGACGATTTATTATAAGGTGCGACCTTCTTGCGGGCTTCTTTTGTAAGACGTCCACGGGTTTTTGTAGATTTTTTGGAAGAGGATGATTCGTTTGATTTAATAGCTTCGATGTCTTCGGAAACAGCAAGTGGTTCTTCTTCTATTAAATCAGTGCATGGAAGATCGAATGCTTGAATAATAATGGTTCTCATATCCTTTGCAGTTATCTTTCCTGATCTGACAGCAGTGAATTTGTCCTCCCAATCCACCTTTTTATCTAAAAATTCAGTGGTCAATCTCTCAAGTTTTTCATTATCCTTTTCGGCGCGATTCCTTCTATTATTGAACCAAGTCTCAATTTGTTTGATAGACAACCCAGTTGTTTTACTTAGTTCCAACTTTTCGCAATGGTTTGGGCGGTCGGATATTTCACAAAAATAGTCTTCGAGAATTTGCTTGATTTCGTCTGTGAAACGTGATTGATTAATACATGTTGAAATTGAATGATTCATGGAAACAGTGTTTGCATTATAAAATCCAATTGTGACTCGGAATTGTTCAATCATCTGTGATAGCATATCCGCAAAATAAGAATGTATTTGGTTCAATGTTTTGATTACATATTCTTTATTTCCGGATGGAAGCATAAAAATATCTCGTAATAAAGCTTTTTTTTGTTCCCGGCACTTTTGAAGACAAAACTTGTGTGCGGAATTTACCGCGTCCAAGTATTTAGTTTTGACGCTTTCACCAAAGCATATTTCTATTTTTAAAAGTTCATCTTGGTGTATCGTCTCGACAGGTATTTCGTTGTCTAATTGGCTTTCAAAAAGTTTGAAGAAGGAAGTCTCCTCATCATAAATCGATAAATCATAGCCGTAATCGACAAATAGTTTTTGGCGGAAGGATGTATGAAAATCCGTGGAAATTAGGTCCGAGTTATTTTGAAATTTTGAAGCTAATTTCGTAAATTTAGAGTGAATTTCGGAAAGAACGAGTGATTTTTCTTTTAAAGAATCCATCCTTTTAATGCACTCAGTCTGAGAGAAAAATTTCGGAAATACAAAATATCCCGGAAGGATATGGGGAAATTGGCCATTTATATGATAGGCGGAAAACTTGAAACTTTAATGATGGTTCGATGATTTGAACTTATTATTATGATATTTTAGATCTATCATTTTATTATTTTATTACTCCTATGTCAAATATGAACTGCAGGTACGTGTCAAATTTACTCATTGCGCATCACACAATAATATGTGTATATGCACGTAAAAATTTGGGTTTTAAAATTGCAATTGAATTAGACATATAAATTTAGAAACTTTATGCAATGAAGTTAATTATTGACGATATTTATAATTATTACCATAATTTCAATTTTTAACAAATTTTTTTTATCGTAAGAAATTCGTACAAATAATTATGTTCTATTTTAATAGTTTCATAAATTTAATTTATCGTGACAGACGACAAATGATCACATTAGAATTAATTTTATTACATTCGTAATATTAATATTTATTAAATTGTGCTGTTTCAACTCATTTATATAATGTTCTAACTAAAATGTGAAAAAAATAAATTTCGAATATCTCCTTTAGACCTCCGTCAGTATCATCATCAGCGATATATATGTTTTTTTATCTCGCTTCTGCACGTGATTTTAATTTATTTAACTCCTTTATCGTTATGATATCATTATTACCTTATTGATAGAAATTTATGACTAATTCCGAAAAAAAATCGTATCATTTAAAAGAGAATCGTATTAATACCACAATTCCGCCTTTCATCAATCAATTCATCCTTTATCTCTTACTAACAATTTTTAAATTTTATCTCTTACTAACAATTTTAAATTTAGAAACTAATTGTTCACACGTGCATCGAAGTTCACATTACCTTCTACGCTAACAGACGTCCTGATGCTGACCGAAGGAGTCGAAGATGAAAGTAAAGGATTCGTAGAAACTATAAAAGATCAAACAAAAACTGAACTTACGAAAGGTCAGAAAGAAAGCGAACTTATGAAAGACGAAACAGAAAGTGAACTTATAAAAGAGCAGACAGAGGGTGAAATTGTTAATGGTCAGACAGAAAATGAACTTATGAAAAATCAAACAAAAAACGGATTTGCGAAAGATCAAACAAAAAATGAGCTTACGAAAGACCAAACGAGAAATGAATTTATGAAAGATCAAACAAAAAATGAAATTATTAAAGATCAAACGGATAATGATGCTTTACCACAAGAAAAATTTGCAAATCAAAATGACCAAAAAAAGATTCAAGAATCTATATCGCAAGGCCAAATAACTAAAGCTAAGATTAAAAAAGTAAGATTCGGTGAAATAACAGAATGTCAACTTGACAAAGATCCTAGTTATAACGAACCTTCTCAATCGTCCAGATTTTACGGTGATCTATCAATTCTTAATAAATTTTATTATGGCCAATATTTGAACTATTAATAATTACAACTTTTATTTGTTTATTGATCCAGAAAAAAGACATCATAAGATTGAAAGATATCATAAGATTGAAAGACACCATAAAATTGAAAAAACAGATGTAACCTTGAGTCCTGAAAAAGCTAGTAAATTATTTGGAAAATTGGGTTTGGCCGAAGCTTGGGAAAAATTCGTTTCACCAAAATCACAAAATAAAAAGGTGATCATTTCTAATATAAATGTTTTTCGTTTTATACTAATGTATACTTAATTGATCGACCTTAACTTTTCAGAGAATTTCTTTCCTTTGAATGTTCAAATTGGGGAAACGCAACGCAATATTAATCGAGCCTTATCCTAATTTACGCGTTTACATGCATCTAATGCTAAACATTAAAGCCATTTTTCAATCAAATTTTACAAGATTTGCTTTGCTTCGCTTATTTAACACTTCTAGAATGTGTTTGCTAAATTAAACATATCGTGTTAATGGACTTTCGTTCGTGATAGTGTTGACAATTTACTTTTGCATAGTGTACTGCTCTATTAATATGTAAGACAATTTTACACTTGCAACAACGTTAACTCCAAATAAATTAGTAAAATTGACAACAGCAAGCTATCTAATAATTAAGCCAATTGATTTTGTTTCTATTGACTTCGCTAAAAGTCAGCTTAATCTTGCTGACGTTGCCTTACAGTCTCATAAAAGTTAAGAGCAATACTTCCTAAAGAAAAGTGGATAACGCGTGTAATCTCGTAAGGTGTCCAGAAAAATAGTAACGCGTAAACAAACAATAATAATTATAACCAATATCATGTAAAATAGCAAATTAACCAATTTACGAATTTATTACAACGAAAACATTAAGAAAAATTAATCTTCGATCAGTACAATCGAGTCATTAATCTAAAAAGATAACTGATCTATCTGTACATGGTTAATTATTTGCATGTGACCATCTACTCAAACAATGTCTTAGGCATTCAATCCGCTTGATTCTAGCTACATATTTACATAAGAAAATTCACTAAAATTTAACCAAATAATTTTAATTTAATATGATAGTTCTAAATACGTTCAATGAGTATTGAGTCTAAAAGATCCTAGAACACCTATTCTATAAAGAGACTAAGGTGAATCGACCCACATTATAAACGAGCCATCTATTTCATTGGAGATATTAGAGACTTTTTTGCAACTCATAGAAAGTTCTTCCATTGTCCTACTTTCAAAGCTAATCCACTTTGTTCGTTTTATTGCCGACATCACTTAATGTAACAATTTAGCATATTGAGTCAGGACACAAATGGAGTTTAGAGACATTTTGATCAAAATTGAGGTTATATTTTTAAATATGTGATTTATTCACAGTAAATTTTTTAGCCCGCATTAGCATAATAAAATTTTGTACAATTTTGTACGCAGTATTTTTTATCTCTATTTTATATATCAAATTTTAATAATTGATTAAAGATTGATACCTCATAACCCTATATATTAGCACTCAGATATGTGTACCGGGTTTGTGGCGCAGGCAAATTTCTTAAAATTAGGGTCAGGGTTATGGATTAGAGAAAATAGGTGTAGTAGTAAAATTGTCCAACAAAAACTTTTTATTAGAGCGCAAAAAGTGGTTGCTTATACTGATTTTTGAGTTATGGGCGATTTTTAGCAGAACGAACGTATGTTTTGAACCTTCTTGATCGTGTTACGTTACAACGAATCTTGAAATCTGATTCGTAGTTCAGGACAAACCCGGTACACATTTTCCAAGTGACATATATTATTTGTAAACTGTCATGTTATGTGATGTAGATAAGGTAAAAAGTTTAAGTAAAATTGTCGAACCCATCGATCCGTTTCAGAACGTCGATCACTTTTCCAAGAAAAATTTATTTTGTAATATCATGCAGCGTACAAAGGCATATTTAAGGAAAAGATTGGCTGAGAAACAAATGTTAAAAAGTATTGTCTTTCCTAATTAAAAAAAAAAAAAAAAATGGAAATTGTTTACGAAAAAACTGCAACTTCTCCAGTGAATATAGCAGTCATTAAATACTGGGGAAAACGAGATGAAACTTTAATTCTTCCAACAAACTCCTCACTTTCTGTAACATTATCTCAAGATCAATTACATAGTAAAACCACAATTCGAGCTTCGCCAGATTTTGAAAAAACTAGGCTTTGGCTTAACGGCGTTGATGTCGATATAGAAAAAAACAAGCGATTACAAAATTGCTTGCGTGAAGTTCGACGTTTACGTAAAGAATATGAAGAGAAATTGCGTAAAGATAAAGGCCCAGATAATGTCTTAACTTTGTCGGAATATAATCTTCACATTTGTTCTGAAAATAATTTCCCTACAGCTGCTGGACTAGCTTCATCAGCGTCAGGCTTTGCATGTTTGACATATACACTTTCTCAATTATATGAATTACCGATATCTACTACTGAGTTATCAAAAATCGCAAGACAAGGATCGGGATCTGCTTGTCGTTCATTATTCGGTGGATTTGTAGCATGGGAAATGGGTTCTCGTGATGACGGATCCGACAGTCAAGCAGTACAAATTGCTCCACGAGATCATTGGCCTGAATTGGAAGCTTTGATTTGTATAGTCAGTGACACCAAAAAGGGAGTCAGTAGTACAGAAGGAATGCAAAACACGGTCAATACTTCTACTCTCCTTCGACATCGTATTGAACATGTTGTTCCTGTTCGAATGAGATCCATGATTGATGCTATTCGTGAACGAGATTTTCAAAAATTTGCCGAAATTACTATGCAAGATTCTAATCAATTTCATGCAGTGTGTTTAGACACTTTTCCTCCAATTTTTTATCTTAATGACGTTTCTCGAGCTATTATTCGTGTGATTACAGAATATAATTCTTCTAATTCTGAAAAAAAATTAAAAGCTGCTTATACTTTTGATGCCGGGCCAAACGCTGTGATTTATACAACTAGTGAGAACATTCCCGAGATAATTAACTTGATAGCAAAATACTTTCCGGGCAATGATGATGTAAAAAATTATTTTTCTGATCCTTTTCAATTATTTGTTGGAAAAACTATTGGATGTCAACCATTACCTTTAGGGTTCAATGACCAGATAATTCCAGTATTTCCTAAAGGAAGTGTTAAACAAATTTTGCATACAAAAGTCGATGATGGGCCAAAGATTGTGGTTGGAGAATCTGATGGATTACTGAATAAACAAGGATGGCCAAAAAGACTTAAATAATATCATATACAGTCGCACCCCTAAGTGTAAAAACCTTTCTAAATGCATGAGACGATTTGGTTTCAATTTGATCTCAATTTATAAGAACCCTATTTATTTTACTCTATAAATGAAACCACCCTCTAAATGCAAAGTTTTAATTTTTTTCCACTATTGTCATGACGAGAAGCACTTAGGGGTGACTGTACTATGATTATCCCTATATTCTTATTTCATTCATTTTTTAGAGTTGATAAGTTCCATAAAAATTAGTATAAAGAAATTATTTTTGTTTAAGATATGTACTATGTAATTTTATTAAACATTACATAGTATAATATATTTGGCTTGTTTTACTACAACACAAATATAAATATAAAAACTTTTTATATTCAAAAAAAATTTATGATATTTTATATTATATTCTAATATAGATACTTTGTATTTACTTACATCATAAATTTGGATTAATAAAGGCTTTAAAAGATTGAATATTTTAATATATAAATATATATTTAATAAATTTAAGATCAGTTTGTAAATTGTTAAATTCTTTAATTTATATCATATTATATAGCAATTAAATTTTGTGTTAGATTAAAATTATATAATCCTGCTAATATTTTAATATAAACACCCACTAAAAAACTTTTGATAGAACTTTGTATTTAAATAAATTTTTGATCTAATATATATACTTATTTATTTATCAGGTAGATACTATTTTAAATCAATTATATGTAGTTTTAAAACGTTTGTATTGTTTTAAAACACGATTTAAAGAATTTAGAAAACATTAAACCGTTTTTTAGCAACTCAATTTTATACTTAAATCCAAAAAAAACTGGCGTACGAATTACCGAGACCACCTCAAATAAAAAAACATTACATATATGTAGGAATTTCAACGCTAATTTCGATAATCCTTAATAACAATTCAGAGATTTCTCGTGTGTTGATGAGCTTTGAAGTATACATGTGATCCAGATGTTTTTGCATAATGATTGGTAATTCTTTGACGACTTCATCGGCTTCTAAAAATTGCTTTTTAATTTCATTTACATCATCTAAACTTTCCATACTTTTATTCCAAGCTTTAAGTTTTTCAATAACCTCCCAGTCAGCTGGTCGCTTTTGGTGATCAGGATTCATGCATTGCATCGCCAATTCAACATAACATTTGGGTGTTCCAGGAGCAAATTCAGGTCGTAATCCAGTGCAAATCTTTATTGCTAAATCAGTATCAAACTTATAACCATCAAAAGCTCTTTGTCCGGTTGATATTTCTGACATGACAACTCCGAATGAATAAATGTCTGTAGCACGTGTAAATACCGATTTCCTTGATAAAATTTCTGGAGCAACATATAGCAAAACACCATAAATTCCATCATCTTGTTTTTCGTTATATGATATTGATAAACCTAAATCAGTAATATAAACATCATCTAGATTATTTAATAAAATGTTTCCTAAATGTATATCCCGATGTATAAAACCTTGAGAATGAATGGTTTTAAGATCAACTGCAATCTGAAATATTATTTTTAATTTATCCTTCCATCTCAACTGAAATATATTCTGAAGATTTTGATGTAAAGATCCTAATTTTGCATATTTTAACACAAGAATATAATCATTAGTGATTTCATCTTTTGATATTCCATAATATTTTCCAGAGTATTTTCCAAAATTATAATACGCCTCTAACTAAATAATATTTATAATTAATAAATTTAAAATTTAATTAAAATAAATTTAAATTAAAATACCTCATTTAAAAAAGCTTGTTCATTTTGATGTGAATTCTTTAATATTTTAATTGCAACAATGTTATCATCTAAATTCTTACAAGTAGCTTTATAAATTATCGAAAATCTCCTCTACCTATTTCTTCGATATTTTTAAACTTATCATATGGTATCCAAGAAAAATAAGATTTGTTACAAGTAGTTTCAGAAATAGCAACTTCTAATTTAAAAGCTTTCTTTTTGTTTTTCTCAACACCGATTCTGTTTCTATAACAATTACTAAGTGCAAGTGTTCCATAAACATTTCCCATTTCAGCTGATTTTTGATAGTATTCGAAGGCCTTGTATACATTGATTCCTTTTTCATAATATTCTACAGCTTTATAATAAAATTTACCCGCTTTATCCTCATCCCAATTTCATTTTTATAACAATATCTAACATTAAATGTTCCAGTAGTGTGCCTCATATCTGCAGATTTTTGATAGTATTTGAAGGCTTTATGTTCATTCTTTTCGACACTGATTTCATTTCCATAAAAACATCCAACATTAAATGTTCCAGTAGCATGCCCTATATCTGCGGATTTTTTATAATGAATGAAGGTTTTGTGTTTATTCTTTTTGACACTGATTCCATTTTCATAACAATATCCAACATTAAATGTTCCAGTAGCATGCCTCATCTCTGCAGATTTTTGATAATATTTGAAGGCTTTATGTTTATTCTTTTCGATACTGATTCCATTTTCATAACAACATCTAACATTAAATGTTCCAATAGCATGTCCCATCTCTGCAGATTTTTGATAGTATTCGAAGGCTTTATGTTCATTCTTTTTGATACTAATTCCATTTCCATAACAACATCTAACATTAAATGTTCCAGTAGTATACTTTATATCTGTAGATTTTTTATAATGAATGAAGGTTTTGTGTTTATTTTTTTAACACTAATTCCATTTTTATAACAATATCCAACATTAAATGTTCTAATAGCATGCCTCATTTCTGCAGATTTTTGATAGTATTTGAAGGTTTTATGTTTATTCTTTTTGATGCTGATTTCATTTTTATAACAATATTCAACATTATGTATTCTAGTAGTGTGTTTCATCTCTACAGATTTCTGATAATACTTAAAGGCCTTGTGCTCATCTTTTTCAACTCCAATGATATGTTGGTATTTTCATCTGAGTTTGTAAAGTTTTGCATCAGTTTGGTTTATAATTAAAAATAATATATTTTAGCTTAATGTTAAAAATTAACAGATTTATTTATTTAAATATATGTTATACACATGTAACAAAATATAAATTAAAAGGGGTGTGGCAACCTAGTGAAGTGGTCAGGTTGTCAATCCCCAAGTGGCAGGTCCAGAGTTCAAATCCCAGTGTCGACGTAAAATTTGAAAATCCTCCCTATGTTACGGTTAACTGTCTCTTGCAATTGGTTGGGATAAGATACCTATAACCTGTGTCACACCAGCATGACTGGCAGGTCACATGGTATTTGTGTAATAGTCACATGACATTGTCCTTTGGGACAAGGTCTGTAGTTACACAAAGAAATGCAAACCAGTACTGGGCGGTGCAAACTTACAATAAGTCCTCATGGCTGTGTAAATCATAGAAACCAATAGAAGGAGATGGAAGCCTACTTGGAAGACCTGAGTAGAGAGGTAACCCAAACTTTCGATGGTGCTACTGTAAAGACTAGACTTGTAAAATGGAGCTAGAACTTGTGAAACTGGGCAAATGTGCTGGTTCTTGGAGAGGGATCGAATGAACCAACCAGGTTGCCAGAATTTTTGGGTTTTGAAGGAAAAGGGTACATGCTGGCAAACATGTAAACCAGAGGTATGGTCTTATTCTAACTTTTCAGGTTATCTGAAATGGCAGCTTAGTGGAACTTGAATTGAATACCAAAGTAGTAAGAATATGTTGTGAAGTCAGTACTGGGGTTGGGACTCTACAAGAGCAAAAGTGGTTTAATGGTACATCCTGACTGCCAGTGTTGGTCTCAGCCATAACAATACTAGGTCAGCTGTAAGAATAAGATACAGAAGATTCTGGAAGGTTTAGTACAAGGTCAAAGGTTCAAAAAAACTGCTTTAAAGACTTAGTAGCCATGGTATATTTTCAACGACATCAGCCAGGATCGTTGGTAGGCAGAGGTAGGTAGGTGGATACGAAAACAGAGTGGTTAAATAGGGAACCTACAAGTGGGTTCCAGGTATGGCAGCTAGTATAGAACTTTCGGACGGACTACTTAAATTAGACAATGACTAAAGTTGTATGAGTGGCTAGTTGTACACTCTTCTTATGATTGCCTCCTGTGGTTGTAATACAACCATTAGCCAAATATACTATCAATAAAATCCTGGGTCGCAAGTACTTACCTTA